TATGTATATATATATATATATATATATTGCAAACACGTACACACACACGTACGAGCACGCGAACATACATTATCGTGAGTATAGTACCCAATAATTGCTCATGCACTCCGTAACTCTAAAACACACTCTCTTTCACACACACACCGCCTACGAGTTCATACTTAGCTGTGACCTAAAAATTAGCTGAGTATCATGTGTAAACTGTATACTGATTTTGTGTCTTCGTTTCACTCACTAAAACTGGTTTTGTGGCTTCGAATAAAACAGATTAACACTGTACAAATAACTGCGGTTTACTTTTGACCAGGTTAGTGGGACAGTGCAGAGTAACAAAAATGTTTCTTTGCCTGCTTATGCCAATCTTTCTTAACTATCCCCCAGTTTTTATATTACTATTTAGTAGAGGTTTTACGGCGCTCGTAACTGCATAAGGCCATATGAGCGCCAAAGGGTGGATGTCAACAGAAAAATCTTTACAGGGAATCGGACTTATTCTGCTCACCTCTCTAGCTTTAAAAGCACAAAGTCTGTTTTGACTTTCAATGCACCCCGGGAATAGCGGGTCACAAGAATATACAAAAGAAGTAGAGGATAATGACAATAGTAAGCATTAGGAAAGGGAAAGCAGCAGTTCCCTGTAGTAGTTCAGGCACAGTTATGAGCATGACATTGTTGAATCAGCCCATTTACAATTCTACTGTGCATAAGAACAAGAAATGCCCCCCCCCCCCTTTTTGGAAATGGCCTACAGACACTTCAGTCAATGGCACTGCTCCCGGAAGGGGGAGGGGGGGAGGGCACAGTTTAACAATGCAAATTAAAGACAGTAATGTGTTTTTTCCACGCCCGTCTTTAAGATTGTCCCACGAAGTCATAAGATAATTATCTTCCGCTTCACACCAGCGCGCTCAAACCTAGATCTAACGCTACCTGACAAGAAACACGAAGTTACCAGGTCTGTCCAGCAAGAACGTTTCTTTGTCCTATAACTTTTCAAGAAATTTTACGTCAAACAACAAAAATGTATTTCAAAATGTGTATAACCGCTACACACCAGTTTTTACATCACCACACCACCTGAACAATTTTATTATGAAACTGTGTTTACGTTTACCTTTTTGGGTTAGCTCACACCGTGGCGACCAAGAAAGAGATAAAAGGCTCATTCTCAAAATGTGATATTATTATTCTAAGTTCGTGTTGCCATTAAATTCATGGGGGGTTTTTTGTTGTATTTTTTTGTTTTGTTTTTGTTTTTTGTTTGTTTTGTTTTTTGTTTGTTTTTGGGTTTTTTAAAGAGGAATCACCCAAAAAAATACATGAAAATCTCTTAAAGTGGGGTACCAGTTGCCCCAATTTCCTAACCGTAAGAAGATGGGGGAGAGAGAGAGAGAGAGAGAGAGAGAGAGAGAGAGAAAGAGAGAGAGAGAGAGAGAGAGAGAGAGAGAGAGAGAGAGAGAGAGAGAGAGAGAGAGAGAGAGAGAGAGAGAGAGAGAGAGAGAGAGAGAAATGCCGAGCGTGTCAATCTTGAAGATTCGGAGCGTCCCGGACGGATTAATTCTTTTTCTGAGCAAAACATTTTGCAGAAGAAGACAGACAAAAAACTATGAGACATGTAATGGAAAGCACTGTTTGGCTGACTCGGGGTTTTTTTGTGTTTGTTTTAGTTTTATTAAGTGTTTTATGGCACTTTCAACACAATAATGTCATATAAGTGCAGAAGATTAGAGGTGGTAAAAGAGAGTAACAAACGCAAAAAAGAAGGAGGGGAGATAAAGACGACAGATGTTTGATAGGAAAGTAGAGCAGACCACACCAGAGCATCCGCCAACCACCCACTGACTCGGGGTTAAATGAACAAACAACAGCAACAACAACAACAGCAACAACAACAACAAGTTTCAACAGTTTCAACAGGTTCAACAAAAAAGAAGCACGAAACACAACGACACAATTGCGGATATTTTGTGTATAGAAAAGAAAAACAGAACATGGCAGAGGAAGAGGAAAGTAAGAGCTATCAGTAGCGCCCTTCAACAGCCCGCCAAAGTGTAGGGAGGGCGGGGTTACCCTATGACATGCTATCAGTGAGTAAGGGCATACATATATATACATACGTGTACACACTCGCTGCA